GGGGTAGTCCTACTTTTGATTTGATGACTGGTTTGTAATAATTATGATACTATTTTTCTTTGTTTTTACTTATCGTTATTTTTCACTTTGGTATGTATATAACTTTACCATTCCATGTATATATTCACTCCCATGTTGTATATATTCGTTTCTTTTCACCATTGTACATATTCATTTTACTTTTTGTAGTTTACTTTATAACTTCTTATGTTATTTTCACTTAATAACTTAGCTTTTTTACTTTCATTAGTAGCTTCTTTTTGAGTTCTTAGCTTCGTGATCAATAAGCCTTTGGTTTTCTTAATATCACAGCTCTTTCCAAAGGTGGAGGGTGGCTCTTCCCGATGCATGACAACCTTCTTAAGGGTTTGAGTCTGTTTTCTTTAGGTTTTTGTGTAAATAGTAGTAATGAATAAAAGTATCTCAGTCAAGCTTCACTTGGGCTTAACACAGTTACCTTTGACCTTATGGTTAGAAACATGTTGATTTGTAAAGAATGGTGCTAGTTGTGACCTTTAGACTCTTGTGTTGACTAAACAATCATCGAGTGGCTTCTCGGAGTCATTTGTGTTGCTCAAACTTAGTTAGGGTTGTTTTGGGCCCTCGACTCTGTTCTCTTTAGCAATCCAACAGCTTGTGAGGTGAGGTATTGATTTGTAAGTCCAAGTCCTGTGCCAATAAGTCTAGAACTTGCCCTAAATATTTATTTAGGCGAAATTCTAAGTTTAGCTCGACATGAAAAATGATTATAGGCTCTCCTTGATCCAATTTGAAACTTGAAAGCATCCATATCCCACCAAATATGATATCCCTAGCCAACCTCGAAGAGTTAAATCCCTTGTTCTTTCAATAACTATGATACAAGCCTCTATCCGTTTTAAAATGACCCTCTCTTGGCACCCGATCTTTCCTTAGCACAATTGGCAAAAGTATAAGTTTGGGGGGAGAGACGAGGAATGTGAAAGTGATAAAAAGTACAAAATAAAGAAAAGGGAAGGCATAAAGAAAACAAAGAAAAGCAAAAAAAGTCAAAAAGAAAGTGAATAATATAGAAAAATGAAGGGATTCAATAAAAGCAATGATG